GACACTGAAGGAACGGTGACATTAGTTTTTGGATTGGGCAAGAAACAGCCAGAATTCTTGTTCATAGAGTTCTAGAGGTCTACAGCAAAAGGCCTTTTGGCCCATCTAGACCAGTCAAAAATAAGCATCTAACTATCTAATCCCATTTTCCAAGCAATATTTACTCACCCATGAACAATGTGAAATATTATAAATGGGGGAGACAATGGCTAGTGGTATTATCGCTGGACTGTTTTATTCAGAGACCCAGATAACATTCTGAGGACCCAGGTTCGAATCCCACCATGGATGATGGTGAAATTTGAATTCAATAAAATATCTGAAATTAAGAGTCTAATGATGACCATGAATCCATTGCCAGTTGTCAGGAAAAACCCATCTGGTTCATTAATGTCCTTCAGGGAAGGAAATCTGCCAGCCTCACCTGGTCTGGCCTACATGTGATTCCAGGCCCACAGCAATGTGGTTGACTCTTAACTGCCCTCTGGGCAATTAGGGATGGGCAATATATGCTGCCCAGCCAGCAACTCCCTCATTCCATGAATGAATAAAAGGATTAAGTGTTCAGTCTCACAATCGTTAATTAGTACCATGCTCTGTATTTAATTTATTTTTTATGATGTACGGGTGCCAGTGTTGGACTGGGGTGGACAAAGTCAGGAGTCACACGACACCAGGTTATAGTCCAACAGGTTTATTTGAAAACGCAAGCTTTTGGAGCGCTCCTTCATCAGGTGAAGTGTCAGGTGACAAAGGAGCAACGGTCCGAAAGCTTGATATTTCAAATAAACCTGTTGGACTATAACCTGGTGTCGTGTGACTTCTAATTTTTTTTTATTCATTAGTGAGATGTGGGCACCATTGGCTAGACCAGCATTCATTACCCATCCCCAAATGTCCTCAAGAAAGTGGTAGCGAGCTGCCTTGGAACCAACTGAACCATAATTTAACTGGTGAAGGAGGTGCTGTGCTGCTTTCTTCGCTTCCCTTTAATTTATCCTGGAGATAAAAGTAAAACATTGATTCATGACTGCTTTACACAGGGAATTATGATGCTCTGGAAATCACTATCTTCTGGTGCTCAATTGTTCTTTGCTTGATTTGGAGAGTTGAGTAACTGATTTATGCTCACTGGGCTTGATTGATTCAGCCTGGGTGCAGACTCACAGCAAGGTAAATACACACCAGCCAAATCACTAGAAGGTGAACCATAAGCATGAGTGCAGACCTTTTGTGACTGCAGGGATATTTTAGAAGCTTTGGAAATAAAAACCATTGAAAACTAGGAGCAGGAGTAGGCCATTCAATCCCTCAAGCCTACTGTTCTGTCATCTGTGCTTTGTTTTGAGTCAAATCAAACGTATTAAAAAATACAATGGTGACTGAAAGGGCAGTAACTGCAGATTCAATAACTTTCAAAAGGAGACTAGATAAATACTTGAGAAAGCAGAAATTGCTGGCTCTTGGGGAAAGGGAGGAGACGGGACTAAAATGTGTACCTCTTTCGAAAAGCTAGCACAGACATGATGGGCCAAATAGCCCACTTCTTGTGTTTTACAGCTCCACCTGAGAACTCTTCTTCAGTCAACGATAAATTAAAAGCTGCTGAAAGGCAGGCGTCCACAGGTACCAAATCGAGAATCGCTTTCATTCATTGTCACCATTAGATTTATATTTCAGATTTATTCATTCATACTCCACCAGTTGCGTTAGTGGAATTTGAACCCTGAATTAACCTGTGGATTACTAGTCCCATGATATTACTGTTACACCTCTGACTGACCACAACGGGTTTAGCCTGGATGTGGACTTAGAGAAAAGCAACCAAAGCTGTAAAGGCTTCTGGAAAACTGAGAATTTGTTTGACTGCAAAGGCAGGCACTGGAGAGAAATTTCTTCTAGATATTGAAAATACTAAAAACTAAAATAAAAACTGTTCAGCATCTGGATCAGCAATTTTTAACTGGTGCATCAGGAGAATTGTCTTAGTGCATCGTGACATTTAGTACAAAAGTAATGAAAATCAATGTAAAACAAACATTGTTTCATCTTAAACAATATTCTATCCAAGCAAAACTACAAATCATAAAACTTATGAACATGCATCACCCAATTAAAAGTGAGCTTTCACACACGCTTTTGAAACAAATGCAATGGGTACGGAACAGATTTAGGGCCATGAATTGTTGGAAATAGTTAAGTTGAGCAGATTTGGAAAATCTGCAGAAGGGTCTAGACCCGAAACATCAGCTTTCCTGCTCTTCTGATGCTGCTTGGCCTGCTGTGTTCATCCAGCTCTACACCTTGTTATCTCAGATTCTCCAGCATTGGCAGTTCCTACAATCTTTGGAAAGTGGGTCTGTGCTCACAATAAAAGTCAATGTTTTTCCTGGTGCATTGGATCCTTCTTTGGCTTGTTGTATGCACTATGTTGCAAACCTCTCCAGAAAGACCATATATAAGTAAATGTTTATGAGCAATCAACTCAGCTGAAAAAAAAAAAGTGGCTGTGCAATGGAATTATTTGCTTCATTCAAGTTGCCGTGGTGATGAAAAGGTTGGATTGCTGAGTGTTGTCCTTCTAATCCTGCTGAAAGATGCATGAGGAAGCAAAGACAACGTTGCACTGTACAGTAATAAACGGTGTCAGGGCAGCATCTAATTCCTCATGCTTGCCGAGCAGGCAACAACCCTACAGAAATGCTTGGAATTGGTGGGAGTGCGCTTGTAAAGGGATAAAATTCAGGAGCATCTGTGTTCAAATTACAGCAATGGCAACTGCAGTTCACAACCCAATCAAGCTGGAGCTGAACACTGGTTTCATTCCTCAACAACTTGCTCATTACACAGTCAGAGGTGCACCAACAGAACAATAATATTTGCAAACCTCCCCTTGGGCATTAAGAGACTGTCTGGTGTCATTAGACGCAAAGGTCTATTTCAAATAAGTCCTACGCAAACAGCATCTGGGAACAATCCTGTGGCCATATGCACCCTATTTTACAATGCTTTGATTTCTGGTTCCCTCGGTGAAGTTTACACTTGAGCCATGAGTGAAATGCAGCATTTGCAGAGTTGTGTGGCCACAGACTAGGTATTGCATGCAATCACATTGACATTTGACCAATCAAAGCTCAATAGCCTTCTGTGCTTTATCACCTCGTGATTCTGATATGGTCACATCTTGGGTACTCATTCTGATTTGCAGAGGAGGCTGAAAATAGTTTCAATCCCACAGACAGCATTCTATTGCCTAGCACCAACTCAATTCTCATTCACTGCTTCAGTTTTGACACAACGGATTACCGCAGCTCGGCTGAGCGCTGATTGCATTTCAGCACAAGACCTCAATTGGATCAGACTGCAACGACTGACATTGTAGAAGACAATTAATATCTGAAATCGTTAACTAACATCACAAAATAATTTCCAATTATAAAAGACAGCTGAAACAAACACAGAACGCAGGAGAAATTCAGCGGGTCTGGCAGTTTCTGTGAGGAGAGAAACAAAGTTAACTTTTCAGGTCCAGTAGGGCTCCTCTTCAGAAGAGCAGATGACCAGACTTGAAACGTTAACTCTGTTTCTCTTCTCACAGAGGCTGCCTGACCTGCTGAGTTTCTCCAACATTCGCTGTGTTTGTTTCAGATTTCCAACATCTGCAGTATTTTGCTTTTACATGCAAAGGACACTTCCTGGGAGGAGCTAACCACTTCTTCAGTTCTCTCTAAGTTGTGTACCAGAATGTTTCAGTACCAATAATGTGTACTTACACTAAAGTCAAGCCTGAGGTTTTACAAGGCTTGGGCTTTCATGTATCTTAGAAGCAATGCAATCAGCTATTAAGTACTATGTAAGAAACGTGTTTATTAAGACTGAGCCTTTTGTTTCCTTTGTGTGGACGTCCTTCCCAAATTGGTCCAGAAGCCTGATTTAATATTGAGAAGGAGGCAGATTGGTGACAAGGCATTCCGAATGGTGCTGGTGCACACGAGCACACTATGGCTTGCAGCAGCACCGTTAGTGAAAAATACAGCACCTTAGAAATTTCACAAACAAAAACAGAAATTGCTGGACAATTTCAGTGGGTCTGGCAGCATCTGTGGAGAGAAATCAGAGTTAACGTTTCAGCTCTGGTAAATCTCATCCATACAGTCACAGAGCTGTACAGCACAGAAACAGACCCTTCATTCCAACTCGTCCATGCCAACCAGATATTCTAAATATATCTAGTCCCATTTGCCAGCATCTGGCCCATATCCCACTAAACCCTTCCTATTCATGTACCCATCCAGATGTCTTTTAAATGCTGTAATTGTACCAGCCTCCACTATTTCCTCTGGCAGCTCATTCCATACATGTACCACTGTCTCAACCTGAAATGTTAACTCTGATTTCTCTCCAAAGATGCTTCCAGACCTGCTGAGTTTCTCCAGCAATTTCTGTTTTTGTTTCTGATTTCCAGCATCCGCAGTTCTTTCAGTTTTTAATCTTAGAAATTCCTCCTGTTTCCCAATTGCCATTTCAACACCTAAGGAGCTGCAGCGTTTATCTGAGTGAAAACACAGTGCTTAATGCGGCATCTACAATAAAGTACAACATGCAGAGGTGCTTATGAAGGAGATTTATATGAAAAGATTTTACCGCAAGCCAACATTAGAAGGTATTGAGACAGGTGACTAACAGCTGGATCAGAGCAGAATGTTTTAAGGAACGAAGGAGGTGGAAGGATTTAGAGAGAGTATTTCAGTGTTTCAATAAAGAAGGCAGCAACACAGCAATCAACGTGAAACCAAAGAATTAAAAGAAACAAGGGGGAGCTGCAAACGTCCTGTAAATGAGCTGGCATTTTCCAGGGAGAACTGAAAATCCCCCAGAAATGCTAGGTGATTGTGTTTGTAAAAGAGCAAGAGGAAAGGGGAAGTTATTGAACTGTCCCTGACCCAACCAGCACCTTGACATTGTGATGCTAGTTACAGCACCTTCATGTTTTTGCCTACCTGGGGATGACCTTGACTGGCATGCTGAGGAACATCAAAAAAGGACTGGTGCGGACTTGGACACTTTACTGCAATGGCATAAATGCCAGCCAGCCAGGGATTCTTCACCAATATTGCATTTCTGGTGAAAACAAAGTGTATTAATAAGGAGAGATGGCGGCAAAGCGGTCATTTATTAGTAATCCAGAGCCTCAGGCTATTGTTTAGGAGATATGGGCTTAAATCTCACAACAGCAGCTGGTAGAACTTCAATTCACTTCATAATTCTGGAATTGAACACAAGTCTCAGCAATGGTGATCAGAAGAACAAAACATTGATTGTTGTACAAACCTTCCTGGTTCATTAAAATCCTTCAGGGAAGGAAATAAGACCATAAGATACAAGAGCAGAAGTGGGCCATTCAGTGAGGATGTCTTTCTTTGCCCTTTTAAAGTATCATCTCTGCATAGTCTTTGGTGCCTTTTGTGTGTGTGAGAATGTGTACACGTGCGCGTGTGTGTGTGAATGTGTCTCTGTGTGTATGTATATGAGAGAATGGTGTGTGTGAGAGAATGTCTGTGTGGGAGAGAATGTATGCATGTGTGTGTGAATGTGTGTGTGTGTGTGGGAGAGAATGTATGCATGTGTGTGTGTGTGAATGTGTGTGTGTGTGTACATGAGCGTGTGCATGTGTGAGAGTGTGTGCATGACAGTGCATGTATGCGTGCGCGTGTTTGTGAATGCGTGCGCGTGTTTGTGAAAGCGTGCGCGTGTTTGTGAAAGTGTGCGCGTGTGCATATCTGTAACTGTTTCAGGATTAAAAAGAAGTTTCGTTCTAATTCAGATTACAGTTTTAGATATTAACCAGTTTCACCACTTGTTTTTAAGAGTGCACTTTGTTTTGTAGTAAACAGATTATTCTTCAGTTCACTAAAGAAGTCTCTGTTATTCTGGATAGTAGGAAGTAAAGGGGAAAACTTTGGCCATTTTGAAGACTGAATCAACACATTTGTACGAACTGTGTTACTCATGAAGAAACAGGACTTGGTTATCAGCATAATCCTCCTGTCACTGATGTAAAAATAATTTAAAAATTAATATCTGCACTTCCATCATACTTTGAAATACGAAATCCCCCACCATTGTTAGCTTTCCTTTAAGGTCTTTCTATGTGGTTCACCCTTCATTGTTATATTGACTGCTCCCCATCAGGCTGGCTTTACAATCCTGATGCTTGTTAACTCACCCCCCAATGTTCCTTCACTCCTAGTTGGAAACAAACCTATCTCTCCAGATATTGGGGCTTAAAATCAGGCTGATGAAAACCAAGCTGCGCCACCATTACTTATTGATCTACTCAGGGTTCCTACCTTGCCGCTAGCCTTTGATGGGCTCTGGCTTTCTCAACGAATACGCATCAATCCACAAGAAGGCATCATAAATAATGTAACGGTGCCTCGCAAAGTAGGCTGTGCTGTGTTCATTGATGTTAATTGAGAAACTTAAGGTGAAGGGCTAAGTCCCATCAAAGGTGGGAAGACTAACAAAGCACTTGGGATAGATTAATAAGTAATGACAAACAGCTTGGATCGTGGCCTGTTGTTTACTTCATGGCTGGTTTCCCAGTCGAAGCTCTGCTATCAGGATCTATGGCAGACAGCGAGAGAGACAGAGAGAAAGAAAGAGGCAAAAATTGAGAGAGATAGAGAAAAAGAGAAAGAGATGGAGAGAGAGAAAGAAGGAAAGTAAGGAAAGAAAGAGAGAGATACAGAGAAAAAGATAGAGTGAGAGAGAGAGAGTGAAAGGAAGCAAAAAAAAAGGAGAATGTATGTGTGTAATTGAGAGAGAGTGGGAGGGGGGAAGACAGTGAGAGATGAAGGTATAATCTGGAAATGATCCTCGATCCTGATTAAATAAACTGAAGTGAACGTAACAACCAACTGGCAACAACAGTCATAGTCCAGATTGCAGATTCACCATCCCCATGGCAATCACTGGAAGCATCAGCATCAACTCGACCATAATGAGCTCAGGCTCCACGACAACCAGCACCAGTCCTATAGAACGACAGAAAGAAGAACCTCAAGGGCTCCAGCTGTCAGAAATGGAGCTGTAAGTACTGGCGGGTCAGTATCAGTCAGCACTGAATTCTCCAAAGGTACAAGACCAGACGGGAGCCAAGGAATCTTGCAATTCTTGGGATCTTACAAATACACCAAAGAGATGTGGTACTACAGGTTAAGAAAAGCAAACCATAACATTAGGCTTTACTTTTTGGAGGGACAGGTCTGAAAACTAGTGAATTTTACACAACCAGTATTGAACCTTAATTAGAACATGTTTACAGACCACAGCCATTGCTAAAAAGAGACATGAAGTCTTGCATCAATTCGGACTGGAAAGTAAGAATTTAAAAGTCAGAGCATAAGCACTCTCTTTCAAAGTCTGGTTTCTTACATCCTACTCCTAAATATTATGGGATAAAAAGATCTGATCATATGACCTTTTTTTAATCATTCTTTAGGTTCTGTAACAAACAACCAGTAACTCAGAACATTAATGTAGCTCTGCTTACCATAGGTATACATTGGATATCCCCTCTGTTGCAACTTTTCAAGACAGCCCATTGCGCCTTTTGCCATTTGGGCACTTGGCAGGCTAGCACTGGGTGTTGTCCTGGGATCAAGGACCCACCCCAAGAGCGGGGCATCAGACACCTGCCCACTGAGGGCTGTCAACCAATCAGCTCTTCTGGGCTCAGCAGTGGAGGGGCATTGGCTGTTGCTGGTATTACATTCACCCATGGTCCTGGGTCAAAGACTGCAGGTGAAGGATGGTAGAATAGGGATCTTGTGGGTCTGGGGGCTTTGGCAACAAGGTCAGGCTTCAGCTGCCCAACACTTTACAGAGGACATCTCCTACAATCAGCCAAAAAATGCGTTTGAATGAGGCCCAGGCCCAGGCCTAACATTTGGAGCCCCCAAACAAACATGATGGAGGTATTCTATTCTTGTGCTCCCTGTGTGGAGGGTACCCAGCTGCTGGTGGGTTAATGCCAACAGCAGAAAGATGGTGTCTTTAAGTGGGCACGAGTTGGCCCACTTTGATGGGCCATTTGTGGGCCTTTCCGTGTCGGACTGAAGTGGGGTGAGGCAGAAAGGAGACAGAATCCCCAACAACCATCAACTCCACCAAATGAAACACTCCCAAACCCAGCTCAGGGGAGGATTCCTCCCCGTATTATCAATAGGATACAGAGGCAGCTGAGAGAGAAGAGAGGGTTGCTAGGATGCATGAGTTTACCTATCAGGAAAGGATCTAGAGGCTGGGTCTCCTGTTTCTTGAATAAAGATTTGAGAGTGACCTAATAGAGGTCTTTAAAGTTATAACAGGTTCTGATCAAGTAGAGAATATGTTCCCTCTCCTGGGAAAGACAGCATCAAGACAAGAGAGTAACCAATAAATCCAATTAAGATTTCAGAAGAAAATTCTCAATCCAAAGACCAGTCACAAGCTGGAACCCACGTCCACAGGGAGAGGCTGGAGTGATTAGTATCAATCTAGTTAAGGGGAAGCTAGATAAGTATAAAAGGGAGAAGACAACAGAGAGTTCAGACAGTACACTTCGAGGAGAAAAAAATGACAAGGCTTGACTGCAACATGAACACTATCATGGAATGAATGGGCTAAACGGCCTGTTTTGTGCGATATCACCCATGTGATCCAAGTTACACTCAATCTAGAGAAAGCATTACAGGGCATTTCATAGTGTCCAATCCACGAAGGATCTTTCATGTCCAATTGTTACAGTCCCTATGAATGGTGTAGAGGTTTTTGTAACATAAACACTTACTTGTAGGATTCATGATCAGGCACTATTCTGGCCACTGCAAGGAGGGGGCCTACAGGGTCCTTCAATGGATTCTCCATACCTCGAAGCAGAACCTGAAAGGAACATGAAACCACTTACTAGCATTCCCTTAACAAATGCAAAATCCCCCTCAACCTGTGAATTTTTTCGAACAGAAACAACGATATGTTTAGCCAGAGTCATTCAGAATTAGAACTGATTCTTTTATTATCTTTCCCTGTGCACACTCCCTCTGCTGGTACACATGCCTATGGTAGCCTCAAATGGACAAAATCCACAGCACCGTTTTCAAAACACTGCACGCCAGAACATCACAGACTGTCCATCACTACTGGAATAAAAGCTGAAATTGCAAGAATTTCACCAAAGGTTATTCAATGTGAGAGGAAAAGCAAACCAGATTAATAATCTCTTTCCCAAACCATGGGCTGTATTTCTTGTACAAGAAGCTAGGCAGGCTCCACTGTCCCCAGTACAGACAGCTCTTCCTCCACTCGAGGAAGGAAAGAATTGAGGAAATGGCAGGTTTTGATCAAATAGAGAATATGTTCCCTCTAGTGGGAATGAGGGCATCAAGATAAGAGAGTCATCAATAAATCCAAATCGGATTCCAGAAGAAACTTCTGACTGCAAAGAGAGGAGACGGGCTGGAACCCATGGCCACAGGGAGAGGCTGTAGTGATTAGTATCGATGCAGTTAAGTGGAAGCTGGACAAGTATATAAGGGAGAAGACAACAGAGGGAGGGGCTCATGTCTACATAAACTTTGACATAGGCCCCTGACCAAATGGCCTGTTTATATGCTGTAAGTAACCATTTGGAGGAACCATTTATCTCAGGTGTAAAACCCAACTTAACCATGCATGTACAACAAGAACAACAACATATTTATCTAACACCTTCAATAAAACACCCCAATGTGCCTCACTGTGGGAACACAGCGAAATGACATGAAGTGACCAGCACACACAGCTTGGGCCAAGAGGCAGATTTGATGGTGTGTCTCTTAAAGGAGGAAAGACAGATAGAGAGGCAGCGAGGTGTAAGGACGGAAATCCAGAGAGTGGCACCTCGACAACTGAAGATATCAGTGTGACCAGCACAGGGGAAAATGACAAGGGACACATGACAAGGAACGTGGACTGGTTGTGGAGGAGTGGTTTATGATGGGTGGGGGTCGCTGGTGGGGGTGTGGTATGATAAGAGTACGTTAGTCTCTGGCAAGACTCAGGGGAAAGAAAGCTCAGTGAGACTGTGGGAGCTGGGCAGAGGTGTTTGTGACCAGACAGTAGGAGCGACCCACCGCGACTATCTACCGACTCCACACTCCCAAAAATCTGTCTCGGCAGCAAAAAATCTCCGGAGTCAGGAAAACTGCCTCAAATCCGGGAAGCTACCATAGAATCCAGGTTGGCCAGTCACCCTGGATGGCCTGGATACCGATATGGTGGCACAGGAATTCTCTTTTTCAGTCTCCCTCTAGACCCCAATTCCGACCAGTTGGGAAGGGAGAGAAATGCAGAGAGTGGGGTGCAGACAAATGAAGACATCACACAGGGAAAACGACAACGGACATGCTTGATTTGACAAGTACCAGGAAACAGATGTGAGCTGGTGAATTTGTTTTCTAACGAGAGCCTGGGTGCTTGGGAAAGGCATTCCAGTCTATCCTCAGAGTTCCTGTAGCTGAATTGGCAGAATGAAAATGGGCAATTCACATATTCATCCTGGTGTTGATCCATCTTCCTCGAAGTGAGAGCCTCAGGGTATTGAGTGATGCAGCACCCAGTACCATCAATAGTGGGCACATCACCATGGGCCGAGAGTGGACACTTGAGCACTCAGTCAAGGGCACTCAATGATGGAATCTGTAACACACTTTGAAGGATTCGGTTGCCATGGTATCCAGTGAGCCCGCGGGCCTGGGTGATGAGGTGGGGAGTGGGACAGGGTCTGAAATCGCAACGTTGTACACAGGCTTCAGATTAAACATAAATGTTCACCTCACATTCTTCCCACCATCATGTTCCCAGGAACCAGTAACCCACTATTTGAACCGAGAAATAAAACGCTTCATGGAAATAAGAACGAGAATGCCAGATCCAACACATTAGCTGGACGTATTTTAAAAACCCAGATTGCATTTTCAGGATCAGAGCAATTAGCAACCGCATTAAAAACTTTCTATCTGCATATATAAATATTAATGTCCTGTGAGTGACAGCTGTTCTCTTCGGCTTTCTTAATGAACATTTAGTGTCACTGCATCTGTAAGTAAAGTCACGTTTGAAAGGGAACACTATTATGTACAAATGGAGAGCTCCCCCAGCCCCCCATTTACCCCGACCCTGTGGCCCCAATGAGACTCATTCCAGAATTTTTTCCATTTTGCATCTTATTTCATAAAAGCAAAGGAAGCAGTGTATTTATGCCTGGGTCATACCTCCAAACCAGTGAAAGTAAAGCCTTCTTGACGAGGGATGGTGCTGGCTTTTCGAACGATGGTAATGTATAGTCGAATGCCCAATGGGGCACTGGGATGGGGCTGCAGTTGGAGAGCAGGAGAGACACATTAAAAACAATCAACATCAATAGACACAGCAACTGGTCCCTACACTAGTAATCAAAGAGGCCCATGTATTGTCTATGCAGACTGATAGGAACATGGCAATGAGGAGCAGAAGCAGGCCCTTCTAACTCGTCATTTAACACAATCTTTTCTTTATTCATTCACAGGATGAGGGGATGATAGGCCAGCCCATCCCTAATTGGCCAGAGGGCACTCAGGAGTCAACCACATTGCCGTGGTTTTGAAGTCACATGTAGGCAAGACCAGGTAAAAGTCCGTAAAGGACATTAGTGAACCAGATGGGTTTTTCCGACAATTTACAATGGATTCACGATCATCATTAGATTCTTAATTCCACACTTTTATTTTATTGAATTCAAATTCCACCATCTGCCATGGCAGGATTCGAACCCAGGTTCCCAGAACATTACCTGGGTCGCTGGATTAACAGTCACTCGGAGATAGTAAGAACTGCAGTTGTTGGGGTCAGAGTCAACATAGTGTTTCGACGTTTCAACATCGACTCTCCTGCTTTCCTCTGACGCTGCCTGACCTGCTGTGTTCCTCAAGCTCCACACTCTATTGTCTCTGGGTTAACAGTCCAACAATAATATTTTCTGAAGAAGGGTCTAGGCCCGAAACATCAGCCTTCCTGCTCCTCTGATGCTGCTTGGCCTGCTGTGTTCATCCAGCTCTACACCTTGTTATCTCAACAATAATAACACTAGGCCATCGTCTCCACAGTTGCTGATCTTATGCCAGTTTCAACTCCACTATCTTGCCTGTTCTCCAAACCCCATTGTCCCGTTTTTATCTGAAACATATCTATTTATTTCTTGAATCTGTTGATTGATTCTGCTTCCACTGCATTCTCAGTGAGTTTCACAGATTCCTAGCCCTCTGACTTAAATCATCACTGTAGTGACTAATATTCATTCTGTGGTGATAAGAGATGAATGACAATGGTGTATTTAAGGGGAAACTGGATAAATTCACAAAGGAGAAACAAATACGGGGTAGATATTTTTAATCAACGTATTCAGAGATGACATGACACACCTCTGGAGCAGGTAGGAATTGAACATGCGCCTCCTGGCTTAGGGGTAGGGACACTACCACTTCACCACAAGAGTCCCATGAATAGAGGGACATGCTGAAAGGGTTGGATGAGCTTCAATTGGAGAAAGCTCATGTGGAGCTGAATAACCTGATTCTTTGCTATACACGTTTCCTCCTCAGTCCGTGACCCAACGGCAAGTCCAACTCACAGGTTTTGTGACTGTAAACTGAAATGGAAGTTGGACTGGAAAACCGGGGAGATTTTGTGACTTACAAGTCAGATGTTGGATATTAGATAACAAGGTGTAGAGCTGGATAAACACAGCAGGCCAAGCAGCATCAGAGGAGCAGGAAAGCTGACATTTCGGGCCTAGATGTTGGAATTTTTGAGTTGTGCCATACATGCAGCTTTTTAGAAGCAGTAAGAGGAAGAATTTGACTCTGATTGACACCAAGAATCTTTTGAGTGAAGGAAATTCTGCCTGGAAATGGCCCTATGATTGGTTAAGCTACAGAGTGTTAAAAAAGCTGTAAGTGTCAACAACAGCAGAAAGTGCAAAACATCTAAAGTCTGCAAACAGAAATCATATCTCTCTCAGTCTCTCTCTGTTTGTGTGAGAGAAAGGGTCAGAAAACCCAAGAAAGCTTAATGGCATGAGTTTGTATACGAAAAAGACTTCAGTACATCTGATCAATCATTGAATCAAAGGATAACAAACCACATGTTACCACATAGCCTGCCAGTACACGCCCCCTGTTGTTAGTCACTAACAGTCCCCATTAACAACTATTCACCCTCCCAGCCTGATTGTTAGCAACTCCTTTGTCTGTCCAACTG